CCCTTAAAATAGTAAAAATGGGGTCCCACATTAATATTTCCTCATTATCTTCCATACAGGTTTTTTATTTCGGTCTCAACCTCCCCAAAACCATTGCACCATTAGTTTTGCATGATGATTCTCTTTTCATCCTTCCAGTCAGGCTTGGGTAGTGTCTTACACTTGTGGTTTCTTGGAAAAGATCCATTCATTTTCTGCTTTCTTTCTTTCTTCATCTCCATTCTTTTTCTATCTATGGTTGGGAAATTTATTCAGTTTTCTCTTTCTGTCTCAACTCACAATCCATTTCATGCAGGTGTGCTTGGTGCTTGTTTCTCATCCTTCAGTCAGCTTATGCAGTGTCTTACACTTGTGGTTTCTTTTAAAATAATTCCTCTGTGCCTAAAAGTTCTCATACATTCTCCTCATAAAGTGAGTTAGACCACCTTTTGGCCCCTCAAAAGGTGACACAAGAGTCTGTTCAAAATCCTTTCCTCCTCTTCAAGCTCAGATTTCAACACTACCCAGGCCTGTAAATTTTGTGGTGAAGGATTGTTATATTTGAAATAAGTTTCACTAACTGAACAGCAGGTTCTGAGCTCAAATCATACTACATTCCATTTAATTTCCCTCCCTTGATTAGGTTGAGGGCCAGCGCCAGAAATGGCTGTGTTCACTTGTCATAAACGCAACTTGTGTGAGCCACAAGGTTCCATCATGTGGGACACAGGTGGCAAGTAAGCACAGTCATCTATTTATGTTCAGAAAGTAGGAGGTGTGAACCACCCCCAATAGCCCAATCATCTGATATCATCACTTGAAAATCCTCCTTTGCTTCACAAGTTCAAATCCTGCATCAATCACATTATTTCACAACCATAATATCAATGAATCATTCAAATCTTGCTTACATTGTGATGTTGGCTCACATTCTGAAAGAGTTTCTTGGTACAGTTGACTGTGTCTGTGGTCATCGTAGAATTCCCCAGTTCATACCAGAACAAACCAGACCATACCCTATTGTGGCTGCATGTGGAAAGGTTTTGCGCAGTGGGAATAAATGTAAGAAAATGTGTGCCAAGAATTATTATAGGTGTGAGAGGGCGGGTGGCTGTGGAAGACTGTATGTTTTCAATAAGAGAAGGGAGTGTGGAGAAGATCCAAATGCATGTAAACATTCCAACCGGTACATGGTGGATCAAAATCCTGATACACCCATGCCCCCAGAGCCAGCACCTGAAGAAGCAGGAGAAGCCCCTGAAGTTGAAGCACCATCCCCTGAAGAAGCATCATCATCATCAGGAATTAAATATTACCATTGGATTTGATGTCTTACCAGCAACAAAATCATCAACACTGGCAATCTGAAACCGCCCGCCAGACAATCTTCTTTTATTCAAAATTTTAGGGTCAGGCTAAATGCAATCCAATTTTTCACTACATGCACTCCAAGAAATGTTGCTGTGAAGTGCAAAATACTCTGAAAGGTGTTGTTTATTTTTTGAGTATTAAACCTTACACTGCATCACTTTTGGAGCAAAGATTTTAGTATTCTAATCATCTTTGGAGTGTACAAGTGATGCACTCCAAAATTTCAAGGATATATCACCCACACAAATGGTTATGGAGTGCAAAGGTGTTCAATCCAATAATGTTGGAGTGGATTGGTTGTGATCTATCTAAATTGGAGCACAAGAACATGAGAATAAGTTAATTGGAAAGGGAATGAACTACACCAAAGAAATTGGCTGGAATTCATCCAGCTTGTGGGGAGGAGTACCTACCAAAGAGCTGACAATCTTCCCAGAACTTGTTGGGAGGTATTTCAGCTGTTGTGATACTGTAACAGCCTTTGAGTGACAAGCTGGCACACTTCCAGTTGACATTTTGTGTTAGATTTCATTCCTTTCTGATAGAAGAATTGTTCTGGTTTTTTTGTGCACTCCAATTTGACTGAAGTGCAAGTTGCAACCAACTTACTCAAACATTTCTGAAGTGAACACCCATGCACTCCCCTTTGGTTGTGCCCAGGATATAATTGGAGTGCATCACTTGTGCACTCCACAGATGATTGAGGTGGCATAGTCTTCAGCCCAAAAAATTGGAGCCATTTCTTTTGCCAAAGATGGCCCCCAATTTTTGGTACCACTCAAGGGGCTTCCTGTAATGAGGTGAACACTTTTCCTTGGTGTCCAGTGGACCACTTGCACATACCCCATTGATATTTTGTTATCTGGAGTCTGAGTTTATCTCCATGAACCCATGGGTAGCCCATTCTGAGACAAGTCTAAACTCAACCCACCATGGACAACCCAGGGATTTGAGTCTGGCAGGCCGCCATGCCCCAGCCGAGAGCCAAGCCGGGTCGGGTTGATCCACCCAGGCCTGCACAAACCCGAGCCGCGATCCGATGGCTAGAAGGTCTCATGGGCCGGCCCGAGTGGTCCACATCCTCGAGCCAAAATGAGCTAGCTGGTTCCAATGTATTTATATATGTACATTGTGGAATTAAAATTGTAAAGCTGTGCCGTCGTTCACCTCTATAGAGGCAAATGTTGTCCGTGCGCCTGCATAATCCTCGATCGTTCTTGCTTCCTAATTGTCGCCATCAATCTGAAAGGTCGGTGCGAAGGGACATTGTGGTCGCTTGGTAGACATATGAGCAATACTCCGGCCCATGTATTCATGTTGTTGCATGGATGTCGTTGGACGCTCGACACGTCGCAACAGCAAAGGACAACGGCACGCGCGCCTGTGAGCATTCGAACTCTGACCAATCACATCCCACCATTCGGACGCTTATCTTCACAGCCTTACATTCGACACTCATGGGCTCACATTGCGAGCAACTTCGGCGTCGGTCAAACCCACGCCCGTAAGGTATAAATAACCCCCCCGGACTCCTCCCTCCGATTCTCTTCTCCAACCCCAACACCACTTAAACATTTCATCTGTCCTACCCATCCTACCCATCAACCCCAAAACCTTTCAACCTAACCTCAAACAAAATGTCTGGACGTGGTAAAAGCGGCGGAAAAGGTCTCGGAAAGGGCGGTGCCAAACGTATGTTTTTCCTTTACCGACCATCCCCACCGCTTCTCAACTGCTCACCATTCCACCGTCTTCCCTACTCTTAACTTCAGGTCACCGTAAGATTCTTCGAGACAACATCCAAGGTATCACCAAGCCTGCCATTCGAAGATTGGCTCGTCGAGGTGGTGTCAAACGTATCTCTGGCTTGATCTACGAGGAGACCCGAGGTGTCCTGAAGGTGAGCATGCCTACTGCCATTAACTACCGCTCACACCTTTGCTGACTCGTTCGCTCGCTTCGCACCAGATTTTCCTCGAAAATGTTATCCGGGATTCCGTCACTTACACTGAACACGCCAAGCGGAAAACAGTCACCTCTCTCGATGTCGTCTACGCTCTCAAACGACAGGGCCGAACACTCTACGGCTTCGGTGCCTAAAAACCCTTTCTCGTTTCTTCTTGCCTCTTGCTCCTCTCTCATCGTCTTAACACTTGTACAACTCTGTTTTGTTCTAGTAGAAACTTCTTCCCTTTTACTGGTGACATCGTCTTCTATTTTTTTTTATTTGAACTTGTTGCCGCTAGAATAGTAAACATCCTTTCTTTTGCTTCTTGCATTTCGCCTCCACCCCTTTTGAGATCCTTGCGAGCAGCTCTCGTCAATGTTCCCAAGCATTGCGCAGCCATTTCCCCCTTGCCTTCTTTCGCTAGGAATCGCTACTCTTGAGTATAAAGCAATCATAGCTTGATGAGATCCAGTCAGGTCCCAAATCTTCCGAGGACGATGTAGACTTACGCCAGTTCAGCTGCATTCAAAGCTACACCCACTTTATGTGATTAACAATGATCATGTGAAGCTTCAACTGGAACACTTAAATAGTGTGCAATTTGTGATGGCAAATAAAAGTCAAGGAATTACTTTATCCACTGGTCTCACTTCTTGCAATCCCTGCATGCATTCTTTCCGTTCCTTGCAAATCCCTCTTGTAACATTTGGCACGTATAAAAACACATAAATCAGATGATGGATAGCCTGAAACTCCTGATGACTTTGCTCTATATCTTGACTTGCTCTAAGTGAATTTCAGAGCCTTAGCCAACGTCTTTAAAATACTTATGAGGAAGACGGATTGATAATTCAATCAAGAGCTACCTTCTTTGCTTACTGAAAAATTGTGATCATATATAAGTTGTTGATGTACCATCTAGCAAAGGTTGTTGTGAAGGAAACTTGCACAGTTTTTGGAGGTGGATACCATAAGCTTCATAGTATTAGGGATGAAACCACTATTCAAAAAAACAAACAGGCAAGAGAACATGAAGTTTTGCTGATGTGCTTTGACTAAAAACGCTGAAAGATGATGAGAAGTTGCCTTGCAATTGACATCCTTCAAAAACCCAACTTCAAGTAAAGTATAAAGAATTTGCTGGTGCAACTCAGAAAAAGGGTAATATTTCGCTTACTGGAGTCTTTCCTGGGATAGGGAGTCTTGATTCTGTTTGAAAAGCCATTGATTTGTTTTTGATGAGATCTGTTTCAGACTGTCAGCTCAACAGCTTCTTATACATGAATGGTGGACTCCCCGAGGGGTAGACCGGTCGACAGAGTGATGTGTAGGCTGCTTATGTAATCCCAGTGTACCTGAGATTGATTGACTTTCACAGCATCGTCCAGCATCGTCATCATCATCATCAAGCACATAACAACCCCACATCACTCTGCAACAGCCCTGGTCGAGCTCGAGGGCGTAGAGGTTCTCAGATAAGCCAGAGTGTCTTTATGACCGTGATAAGCGACTAGATTACTCTGAGTCAGCCGAAAGGACAAACCCAAGAGCTGAAGAACTTAGTCAGGAGTGTACAACAACCACTTCAACCAAACTCAAAAATACTCAAAGTCAGTCCTCCATCCTATGTCTCAGATGCCCTTTTGCTTTTTACGCTGATCATGATCCTGGTCGATCGTTAATGCCCTCGGCAGTTGTATCGTCATCCATCCCTCATCGGTATCATCTGCTCGATACACTCGTTCTCCCCCGACAGACCATATCCTCAAGAATTCCTTCTAGCCTTATAAGTAAGTTGGCCTTCTTCCCCCCCCCTGTATCGAACAAACAAGCTCATCATTCTTTTCTTTCATTTTGGTATGTACTCAAAGAAACGGAAAAGGGGATATCTTCAAAAAAAAAAACACCCCAGCAAGAAAAAAAGAGAGAAAAAACCGACTAATCTAGAGTAAATAAACTTGTCGAATACCAAATCGACAGAGGATCTGGAACCATAATCAGCTTGAATCCACTCGATCGATCGATCAGACCTGATGTCCCGCACCGCTTCACCATCACATACTCGTCGCCAGTCGAGTAACAACTATGGGAACAATAACCAATCGAACAACCATTCCTTTCGATCAAGACCAGGCGGGGTGCCATCCTCAAGCGGGAGTGGAGGAGGACGAATGAATTCAGGACGAGTCCCATCGCCAGCCCTGATGGGAGGAGCAGGAGGAGGACCGCAGACATCGTCGAATCAGGCCGGATTCTCATCGATTCGAAATATCGGCCTCTTATTAGGATGGAACGTCAAGTTCAAGTTAAACGAAGGACCGGGAGTAGACCGATGGGAAGAAGGGATGATCTGGTGCTATGACCCGATTCCAGGGGTGGTGATCTTGCAGTGTCCGGGTAACAGTAAGGGTTGTCACACCTATCGGATGATCAAGGTCAATCAAATCAAGGACCTCCAAGTCGGTAGCTTGCTCGAACCTCTCCCTCCCAACCCTTCTGGCTTGATCCCCAAGATCTTGGAACCCGTCCGGCCGATCCACGTCACCGCTATCGCCATGAGAGAGGCTCAAGCCGTCGCTGCTGATGACGCTAAACGGGCCAGAATCGGTCATGGCGTCTCTCGTTGGGCTCAGGAAATCTTCGACGCTCTAGGGAAAACGTCAGTCGACTACTGGACTTCTCTACTTCACAATCCTACCAAACATCATCAATATTGAGTTTACTAATCCGGCTCCCCTTTCTCATTTTTTATTTAGATTACCTGTTCGATGGCATCAAACATCGATAATCATCTTAGATGATGTACTACTACCGGGTCCATTCTATCGATCAGAAGATGTCAAAGTGAGCGGCGGCAATGCGGACCGGATGAGTCGAGTCAAACAAGTCTTGGAGGGCGAATGGTCCCGCTTGCTTCGGACTGAGGAAGGCAAACAGATGGAATTGGAGGCCCGGAATTCTGCGTCTTCTTCCTCTTCTTCTTCGGTGGCTACAGCCACTGCTGCTACTACTACTACTACTACTACTCCCACTCCTGCTTCTTAAGAAATCAAATCATCTGCTTTTCTTTGGCTCTTTTCTTCTTCTTTTGCTTCTTCTTTGCGTTTCTTTCGTTTCTTGAAAAGAAAACTTTTGACAAATCATAAGAGAGAGAGATCATTGAACATGATTAAGCAAGGAGGGTGGAAGAGAATTGTTGATATAATCGCTTGTCTCTTGGAGCTTTCTGAAAAAAACAAAAAACAAATGTGGGTTGCAGAGAGGAGTAAATCAGTGCAATGCCTGCTTTACAAGACCCTGACTTGTCCGTCCTGGTTGTCCAAGCCCAGTAGAACATGGGGGAAACAAAAAACACATGGCCAGCTTGGCCCTACTAGTACTGATTGAATTTCCTGCCAGCAGGAGCTATTTTGTGATCTCTGTGTGAATCATATTGGTGAGCCTCACAACCAAAAAACTTGTGTAAATAGGTCAAACTCCAATTTGAAGAGATTGCAAAATGAGGTATGTAGGTGAGATCTACATCCATAGGTCTTCCTTCACAGATATGTACATACTCTTTTCATCGTCATGGATGTCTCAGTCACAATCAAGTTATTAAGGATCTACATATAAGTGAAGCGTCTGGACTGTCACATCGAGTTAGGGAACCCAGGCTCTACCCACCCCTCCCTAAAAAAGATGAACACAAAATTGGCAGATAATTTGAGGTCATGAAATATTCAGGTTTCAATCCATACAAATTACAGAGGAGTACTCTATGAGCAACATACTCTATGAACAACAGCAACAGACAAAGATATTTAAGATTCATGGGTTTTTTGGAGGGGTGAGGATGATTCAACATTTTTGGCCAAAAAAAAAATGGATTTGTAGCAGTAGTGCTTGATGGGTTCAGTTGGTCTTGAGGCAAACAAGCTGAGTGGACATAGATGGAGTGATCAGTTTCACATGCTTCTTAATGAGTGTGAGCTTACATATGGCAGCTGTAGCTAGCTGATCAACTGATGGTGACTACAGACAAGCACCTTTTTTCTTATTGGCTTGAAAATCCAGTTTAGGCTGTGATCATTGGATACATAAATGATGCCACTGCCAGTCACTCATTTTTCCTGGGTGTGCCTCATGATAGAATTCATAGAGTTTATAGGCTGTTCACAAATGCACAAGTCTTCTTGATAAACTGACATCAGGAAACGGTTATCTTGATTGTGTCAATCAACAGGCCCTAGGACTATCTCATGCTCCCTTCAAAGAGCTCTTCTGTTTATATAAACTCTTCCTGTGGCACAGCAATCACTTGGATGGTGATTTCTTTTGGTGTACTCTTGTTGAGATACATAACCTAGTGTAGATCAGTATAGTAATTAGTGGTTTTGTCTTGGATTATGTAGATTGTGAGTTTGTTGCCCACGATTGGTTTTGGTGCTAGGATGAGTAGGATCCTCTTGATCCATGAAGTTGATTGATTGGTTTTTGGAAAAGAGGAAGTTGAATCGAAATCTGGCCAAAAGGGTCTGCGACAGATTATTTCGCTACCCGACCCACAAGTGGCCCCACTCAACGACTGCAGTGCAGACAGAAAGTAGGATGAACGCACAACAGATTATCAATCGGACATGGACAACGGTCACTCGAAGCCAGCAGCGACTTCGGGCTTCTCAGGCTCCTATCAGCGCGCATTGCAGTCGGACGAACCTGCAACGCTTCCATCAGACCCATCTCAACAGGACCATTAACGAGTCTTCAAGCAGCGAGACATCGACGATCATCGACCATGAAGAACGAGACCGAGCACACGAATCAAGCGAGCAGAATGCGCCTGTCAGTCTGAAGCCGCCAGTCACACCTACCCTCCATCCCATAGCAGACCAGATTCCGGCTCCATCAGCTGCCTCTCCTGACCAGCCGTGGTTCGTGGACGAGGAGCCACTGGGATCGAGCCAAGCAGCAGAAGAGGATGGCATGCAGGTCGATCTGATCACTTCTACTGCACCTCCCCCACCCGCACCAAAAAACCTGCCCGAAGATCTCGAGGAACTCTACGCTCATCTCATCTCCTCGCCCTTCTTTGATCCCCCTTCAATCGCCTTCATCGATGCGAAAAAATCCCCACTCGGCGACGCCGCTTGGACCGATTGGGTCGTCCTCGTCACCCTCAGAAGGGGCAGAGAACGCGCTATTCGTGGGGCCGCTGAAGGCATCCAATCTATCGTGAGCTCTCCCTTTCCTCCTGTAACATCCAAAATCGGTTCTTTCAGGAATAGCTGCTGAGACTCCGTTCTCTCTCTTTCTGGCGCAAAGTTGGAACCAAAGATGACGGTGAGACTCGAAGGGACTAGTTCGACTAACTCTTCATCAACATGGGCAATGGTCGATGGAGGAAAAGTGGTGATCCACATCTTGAACGAAGAGTCTCGAAAACTATACGATCTCGAAAGCGTCTGGAAATCTCCCTCTCCCTCTTCGTCTCATTTCAATCCAAATCTAGATGATCATTATTATTCTTGATTCTTTTCTCTCTCTCTCGAATCTCTCGACCCAATAATATACATTGTGGATTCAATTATCATAAACCAGCCGAATTCTAAAAACGTCCTTCCAATCAATCGATCCATTCCTTCTGTGTAATTGTGCAATAATAGAACAACAACAGCCCCAATGGATTGGATGTTTGAGATCTCAGGGGAGAAACATTCCCAATTTCTGCCGCTCCATAAAATATCAATAAACACCCTCAGAAAAACTCAAAAGCCATAAAAACTTGTGGAGCACCAGGGAATCGAACCCTGTGCCTCTCGCAGATCCCGTATCGCAATGATGCGAAGCGAACGCTCTACCATATGAGCTAGAGCCCCATGCTTCTTCCCACCTTCAGGACAGTGCTCACTTTATTATTACGTCATCAAAGAGGTGGACGAGTTTCAGTGAGGTATACTATTACAAATGATAGAGAGAGATTCCTTAATCTTACTGTGAGCCATTATTTCTGATTGGCTAGCTTTGAGTAAAACAAGTGGCAGGTTACAATTGTGAGTGACTTGATCAATCAATCATGAGGGCAGGCAAGTTGAATCTTACAGGCAGAGCGGATTCAAGTGTTGTCAATGTCATGATGTTTCAGCTTAATGAGGGTTTCAGAAGCAGATCTGTTTACCTAAGGAAAAAAGCGTCAGCAATGGTATGTGTATTTGTTTGAGAGGACTCACTTGTATGTTATACAACCACTATCACTTGTGGAAAGGCCAGAATCAGGCCTTGATAGTATTGACATTCTTTCTGTTCAAGGCTGTGAGTAAAACAAGTGACACTTTGCAGATATGTTTGTTTCCAAGTGCAAACATGTATGTGTCTTTGGGGGATGATGATAGGTCATGTTGTGTTTTTGGAGCTATTTGTTCAAATTTTCAAGTGGTTTAATGTTGACCTTTCATGTCATTGTCAAAGTGACTCTGTATTCTGGTCAAGTGTAGTATGTCACTCTCACTTCAGATGCTTATTACCCAATTCCTGCTGGTCACTCTGTGTGTCTCTTCAATTGCAGCTGGTTGCATTGGACACATTCACAGACAGGAAGATGAAGTGCATGGGCCAGAGATCAGGGGTGGTCTACTTTGTGGTATGTTAAACATGGCACAATTCTCAGAGAGGGCTCAAAATTTTCTTACTTTTCAATCACTTTCCTGCATAAAAAAATGAAAAGCACTTGCAATTGTCCCACTTGATACAATAAAGAAACCTCCAATAGATGTATACAAGAACTGTTTGGATGAGACGCAGGGAAAGAAAATATGGAAGAAGCATACTGAGTCATCCATAAAGGAAATAAATATCAATAGTTCTGAGAAAGATGTGGACAAAGAAAATAATACAGTGCTTTTGCTTAGGGAATCACCTGGAGAAGTTACTCAGTTGAAGCCTCTCACTCCTGAAGAACGTTAGTTTCCAGTTTGATTTTTGTTCAGAATTGATTAATTTTGATCCATGATTTTTCTTCCAAGTCTGATGATCCACGAACCCCTTTTTATAGGATTGAGGATCATTGAAAATTGGGACAGCAATCAAGGTATGTTCCTCCATAAGTCAATTATGCCCAAATGAATATAATAAAGGCTAAGAGTAAATTGCTTGATTTTCTAGAAAAGGTGGCCTTGCTTCACAAACAATCAAAAGGACTATCACTGCTACTGTCAAAGCTAAAAAACTATCTCAATCAAAATAAATATCAATTCAAAAATTGCCAAAGTTTTCACTTGGTATCCAAGATAGTTAAAGAATCTCAAGAGACTATCTCTATTCTGAAGCAACTGAGGCTTCTAGAACTTGGATATATGGATACAGCACAATCCAATTCTAAAATCATAGAACTTGCATTTCCAAATCCTCCAAACAAAAAGCCAAGTATAACTCAGCAAGTTCAAGATCTACACATCAATACATTCTCTTTGATTACCAAGATAATATGGAAAGACATGGCCCAATCATGTTTGGAAGAGGTGAAGAACCTGATCATAAAGAATGATTATAAGCAAATATTCATCACTTATAAGGATAGAAGATCCTCAAATTGGGATTTTCCCCAACAATTTGTAGATGATACTGAGGGTATCATCAGATATCTCCGGAAATTTCTGTTTGAATTAATTGATTTCTTGTTTCAGAACAGATTCATTGATCAACAAATCCTCAGAATGACCTTGGAGGAAGATCAGGAGATGATGAATGAGACGATCTTGTATACCTATGCAGAATTTGTGGATGTGATCAGAGTGGATATATTTTTTAAATGGACTCACTTTACTGAGCATTGGTATTGGACACACATGAATCAATCTTTTTCAGGTAATCCTTCTCTATTAAAATTTTTGCTCATATTCATTTTGGACACTCAATTGGTTTTTGATTTTTTTTATGGAAAAGCTCTGAGTCAAAAAGGGAAGAAAATCTTACAAATTTCATTCATGATAAAAAAGATCAAAATCCCTGCTGAACGCTCTGATACCCTCTCCAAAAATCAGAAACGGAGGAAATTTTCAGACACATTGTCTCCTGGAAAATATGTCAAGAAAATTTGAAAAGATGCTGATAAATCAGCACATCTAGGGTTTCTTAATGGTCTCAAAACCACATTTCAACTGCAAGGAAACAGTGAATCAAACGTTTTTGAAGATGAGATTAGAGAATTGATTCAGCTTCACATAGAAATGAACAACAGAGAGCTTGATGTTTTTGATGAACTACAATCAAATAGAAGCATTGTTGAGTTTCTGGACTTTTTTGAAAAGGAAATGTTTTGGTCCATGATCAAAAATATACTAAAGAGCTTCCCAGAATCTCAAGCTGAAAGATATCATGAATATTCCAAACTTCAAATGCTATACTCCCAGTTTGACCAATTGAAACAATCCAATTTTAAGTTGTACACTCACACACCCATATTACATCCGCTTCATCACAAGGAGAAAGATGAACTGCTCCAGATCAGTATTGATATCCAAAAATGTCATGCAAGCTTTTTAGAAAAATATGGAAGTGATCTTACCTTTTCTGTATCATCGCAAAAAGAGGAGATGAATGAGTTCTTGAAACAATCTGTCAAGTTACAAATTGAATTACAACAAGAAAGGGATTGGAAAGGCCCACTGAAAAGCAATCTTGATGGAAAATGTGTTTGTCAAAGTGCTCTGCACCCACATCCTGAGCAGATTTCCAATCAGTCAAGCATCCAGGACATGCCAAACACTCCCAGTAACCAGCCTTACTTCTCATTTACAGAAGTAAATGGATCAAACCAAGAGCTGAATGCACAGAAGAATGGCATCAAAACTTTGTCCAAGTATGGTAGGAATATCAAGGATTCCATTTCTTTAATCTTTGATGAAGTCTCCCCTGTCCACATCTTAACTTCAATTTTCTTCATCCTGATGGTTCTAATTCTTCATCTTGATTCCACAAGAATAAAAATCTACCTTTGATGATCATAAAAAGGTGTCTCAAGAATCCTCCTTGATCACATTCTGATAATTATTACACTATGTAATCCAGAAATAATAACTTCCACTCAACAAACAAGGAAATATAACAAATACAACAAATAATAATGAACCACTTGCAACTGACTTTTTCCATTTTACTGGGCTACAATTCTCTTGTTGGTTTTGAGTTTTTAGTGTAGCCTTAATACACCTGGGGTGCAGTTTGACGTGGTCTGACACCACTTGTGCATGTGGATCCCATGAGTGACCACTGCGGGAGGCTGGACCAGAGCTTTCCATGGACCTCACCTACTCATCCTCTAGTGCCCTGATCTATAGTGCTGAGAGGTGAGATCAATTTAACTTACCAGTTTGGCCATTGCACTCTTCTAAGAATTGGGAAGCTCAAAATGTAGATTTTGTTGAGAAAAGTACTACCAGAGGAATAAACCAGGGCAAAAGGAGTCAATTGAGCAGATTGAGAAGCGCACTTTTTGACTGATTTTTCAGTCCTTTCCTGATTTTGAAAGGTGAGATGGTGAAACAGCTCACATAATATTTCTCCTCTTATTGATGCAAATAATAGTTTTTGATGGGACCAAGGATACCCCTGTGGAAAATTTACATGTATTCCAACTTGGGACAATCACCTACTGCAAGACTTCATGAATGGCCTCACTGCAGGGGACAAGAAATCATTGGAGGCCCATTGGAGCTTCAATACCAATTTACTGAACATTCCACCAATTAAAGCTTTATTAATGGTTAACCACTACAAGATTTTCATAGAGAAAAACATAAACATTTTCATTCAGGCTGCACCATTTGCCTTTTTCCCTTTCATGAATCCACAGCAGAGGGATTTGTGGAAGTATTTGTGTCTATTGTGCACATATGTGTACCAGCCTAAAATAGATGACATGGAACAATATATTTTGGACCTCCAACATACCATTTACATATTCATTTATCATGTGTTGAGTATGACTTTCAGGCTTATACTACTTACAGGAAGGGAGAATCGTAGTGTTCTAGCCGTAGACCTAAAAAGAATCAAATGTATGTTAACAATTTTCTTTTGAGGCTCAGGTCAAAAGATCTTGAGACTTACTCAAGCTTCCTGAAGCAAGGAGCCAGGGCAATCCAATACTCAGACTAGTAGTCGAGTTGGGAAATACTAGATCGAGATAACAAGCTATTGATAACAGTTCAAGTTACCAGAACTTGTACTGTAAGGAGAATTTGGCTGTGGTTCGAGTAGATTTATTTATGAAATAGAGTATAAATGTTCTAGGTCAAGAGGTATTTCTAAAGGTTGTATTCTTTGGTGAATGCTCTTCGAAGTAGTGGATTTATATTATATTTATAAGTAATCGATTTCTTTTAACCTGGGGAATAAGGAAGAAAGACTCACGTTCATCTCTCTAGTCTTGTCCTTGAATATTCTTAGCTTCACTTTTGGGGTTGTCCCCATAAGTAAACAATGAGCTCATAGCTCAAGTTTAAATAAGGGTCCTCAGTAGGACCGAGGTAGCCTACTTGCTTTAAGAGAATGCTTACTCAGCGCAATTTTATGTTTTGCTTGTCTTATGAAAACCTCCACTTATTTGTTTATCTGTTTATGATCTCATCAATCTTCTATTTGTGCTTAATTTTGTGATCTCATCAATTTTCTATCTTATAT